CCTTAAAATTCCCTATCGGTTTATGTCGCTCCATCGCCAGAAGACTCTGTATTTGCTGGACTTCCATCTAACAGATAACTTTGAATTTTAGACGCGGCCAAGGCTTTATACTGGTGTCTCCAGAACAGTGGGGATCTTCTTTGCTTGCCACCTTGAAACTTGTTGCCACAGCCTTACCTTTACGGATAGACAGAGCTCAGGATTTCTGAGGCTTGAATTGCATGCCACGCCACAGTGTGAGTCTACATGCCACGCCACAGTGTGAGTCTGCATGCCACGCCACAGTGTGAGTCTGCATGCCACGCCACAGTGTGAGTCTGCATGCCACGCCACAGTGTGAGTCTGCATGCCACGCCACAGTGTGAGTCTGCCTGCCACGCCACAGTGTGAGTCTACATGCCACGCCACAGTGTGAGTCTGCCTGCCACGCCACAGTGTGAGTCTGCATGCCACGCCACAGTGTGAGTCTGCATGCCACGCCACAGTGTGAGTCTGCATACCACGCCACAGTGTGAGTCTGCATGCCACGCCACAGTGTGAGTCTGCATGCCACGCCACAGTGTGAGTCTGCCTGCCACGCCACAGTGTGAGTCTGCATACCACGCCACAGTGTGAGTCTGCATGCCACGCCACAGTGTGAGTCTGCATGCCACGCCACAGTGTGAGTCTGCATACCACGCCACAGTGTGAGTCTGCATGCCACGCCACAGTGTGAGTCTGCATACCACGCCACAGTGTGAGTCTGCATGCCACGCCACAGTGTGAGTCTGCATGCCACGCCACAGTGTGAGTCTGCATGCCACGCCACAGTGTGAGTCTGCATGCCACGCCACAGTGTGAGTCTGCATGCCACGCCACAGTGTGAGTCTGTGTGCCACGCCACAGTGTGAGTCTGCATGCCACGCCACAGTGTGAGTCTGCCTGCCACGCCACAGTGTGAGTCTGCATGCCACGCCACAGTGTGAGTCTGCCTGCCACGCCACAGTGTGAGTCTGCATGCCACGCCACAGTGTGAGTCTGCATGCCACGCCACAGTGTGAGTCTGCATGCCACGCCACAGTGTGAGTCTGCCTGCCACGCCACAGTGTGAGTCTGCATACCACGCCACAGTGTGAGTCTGCCTGCCACGCCACAGTGTGAGTCTGCCTGCCACGCCACAGTGTGAGTCTGCATACCACGCCACAGTGTGAGTCTGTGTGCCACGCCACAGTGTGAGTCTGCATGCCACAACCGAGAAGAATATTTTGCGATATAAACTTAGAAAACAAACACACATAATATGTAGCTATTCACTTCTACTTCAGGCATAACCATCTCAAATACTAAAACTAGGTCCCCTTTTAGCTCGTAATCATTGCCATTCAGTCCTTGCTATTATATTTACATCTTCCTAATCACACAGATTACACACAGATTACACACAGATTACACAAAGATTACAAATTATTCAGCTTCTAAGTACCAATCTATTTGTGTTCGCAAATAGTTCCATATTGTTTACTCTTTACACTCAGGTAAACACACCAAATACCATCCTATATCAACATCATAGTTCCCTCTTAACACAGCATATTCATGAAAACAAAATAAACACTTCTCTCCAAGTGCTCTTTTCTAAGTAAAGATAACACTGAATAAGTGCGTACTTTACCACAAGATATTCTACAAACACAACTGGTAGATACATGCTTCATTTTTCCAGCCAGAAACAGCTGTATGAACAATTATTCAATAATTATTCCTGTAACCTATTAATGTAACCTTTGTTTATCAGATTCATTCATTTTGCTAGATATTAACTAAATATACTAGTATCCACACAACCTGGGTGGTTGGGTATAGTGGGGGTGGGGGGGGGGGGGTCAGGATCAGACAATTTAAGGACAAACAATGTTTAATGTTCTCATTGATTGTCGAAACAAGGCAAAATTAACTTCGATATTAAGTATTTTCATTTCACCACTGGCATTTCATTAAATAGTCTTTTAAAATAAAACTCAAATTATCGCTACTGCATTTATAATCTAGATCTCAATTAATCAGTTATTGTCCCTCACGCCACAACCACCATGTTTCCGAATATGAAACGACCGCAGTTGTTCCAAGCGAGTTCTGAACTTGACAGGCCACAATGGCGTCTGTCGGTGAAAGGAAGCAGGGTTGGCAGATTGTCATTTTACGCCAAACTACTACCCGAATTACGCTAGGAAAAAAAAAAAGCCAAATAAAATGTAACATTGTTCTCACTTCACACAAAAAGCTCAAGACTGAATCCCTTCTTCTTCTTCTTCTTCTTCTTTCGTTCGCCAGAAATAAGTTGTCTATATCAGCAGTTTTGTTTCTTGTATAAATTTCACTGTCGTTGTTAGTTCATTTAGTGGTCCATAGAGTTTACGTTCCACTGTTGTTCTTTCTGGCCAAAAGGTTTGCCTTAATGTGTCAAATTCGGTGCAGTCCTGGAGTACATGCTCTGCTGTCTGGGGCACATTTCCACAGGGGCACATGGCTGATACGCCTATCTTGAATTTTGTGTACATGTGGTTACGTCATCGGTTGCGCCCTGTTCTGAGACGGAGGATAATGACTTGTTCTGGTCTGTCCATAATAAAATAGTCGTCTTGTGCTGGGGCTAGTGGTTTCGTGATCGATTTAATGATTCTTTTCTTTTGATGGTATGTGACTGGTACATCCGGCTGCTCTTTTGTCGCACCTTCCACTGCCAGTTGATCAGCTTTCTCATTTCCAGGCACTCCACAATGAGACGGTATCCACTGCATTACGACTCTTCGCTGAACGCTGAGTTGTGTCAGCAGTGTTTGCAATTCTGGTAGTTTCCTAGACTGGAGTGCTTCAAGTACGGATTTAGCATCTGTCAGCATTACCACATACTGTAAGCCAAGATTGGTATTTAGCAGTTTCTCTGTAGCTATCTTGATAGCCTGGGTTTCTGCATCGTAGTTATGGCAGTACTTCCCGGTTGGTACGCTGGACTTATCCCTAGTACCATCTGGGAATTCGATGTACACTTCAGCACCACCATTTCTAACTGCACTTTCTGTAGACCCATCTGTATAGACTGTGACCCATTGTTCTTGTGGGTATTCTTCATCAATATAACAGGTTGGCCATTCTGCTTTGTACACTATCTTGCTCTTTCTTGTCAAATATCCCTTTCACATTTGTCTGGATTTGTACCGTTAGTTTACATTTTTCTCTCCATGGGGTTTGTTCCGGAATACTTTTAAGTGAGCAACCAATTTCTGGAAGGTCAGGAGTTTGTCTATATATTCTTTTTGCTTGGTGTATAAAGCTGATTCTTTTTAACCGTCCCAAGGCTAGGTTCTGAAATCTATTTTCCATCAGATGATCTGGCTTACTGAGGAACTTTTCAGCTTGTATTTGCAACTTTGTATCTCTGCGTTCTCTCAGTGCCTGTGTTTTCCCAGCTTTCTCCTTTTCTAATATGGGGGTTGATTTCATCACTGAATCCCTGACCGTCAACCTGACTGGAACAAGTGGAAGTTGTAGCGTAAACCTTTTGAGCCTTCAGTGCAGGCGATGTAATATTGTTTATTATGCATGAACATTTAGTTCTATGTAACTGTAAGTGTTCCAATTTACTTCCCCGACCATGCGCTCTCATGATTTCACCTAGATGATCGATTGTGCGTTTTGCACAACGGCAGGTCATGCTGACAGGAAGCTGCAACTGCTGCCTTTACCATGACTTTGCCTAGGAGACATTGTTGTAATCAGCTGTGACTGTCTTTTTGACGGGAGTTTTCATCGTTTTCATCGTTTTTATTTTTTATTTTTCAAATCTCTCAAGATTTGATATATTACTAATTCATGGTTTCAAGAGAGCATTAAAACAGTTTACAAGTATAGACATAGAAAAGTATAGAATAGAAAAGTATAGACATAGGAAAGTATAGACAGCCTCTGATCCATCTCAAGATCTTTCGGGCCAATGGTACGTTTTCCTCCATTTTTATTATACTTGCAGTTGCTGTCATCAGATGCTTTCCTGTTTGGATAACGTTGCCATTGGTAAAAGTAATAAAATATATCATAGTTAGAACCAGGTCTGTATGATCTCTATTTTCTACCCTCAAGTAGTTTTTGAACAATCTGAATCACTTGGTATCACCAGCGGGTTTTGGTTTTATATCCGACATTTATTCTAGTCAATTAACATTTTCTCTAAGCAAACTCCCACCACCCACACAAAAAAGTCTTCCAGGCCACGTGACTCCGTACTGCATGAAGTGTGAACGTGCGATGGTTTGTGCATGACCTGCTTTATTATAGTTACATTACAGAGGGCCTTGGGTTATCACAATCACAATCCGTTTAGAAAGATAACATATTCACACACAGATGCTCATACGTCAGGAGATGGCGCGAATCTCCTTTAGTCCGTCTACCAGCCGTACCAGGACATCACAACCAAGACAAACTAAAATAAAGTAAACCGCTCAATTTCAAATACGCCAAATTTGTGGAATCTGGCGTCGAAAAAGCCAATATATCAACCCTGAATTGGTAGTTCCCTCACATGACATGACTCAGCGACAACTTAAAATATGGAATCTCGCTACAGCTTTCTATCTTCTCTGTAAGATATTGCCTAGGCGTATCTTTTCTTTCCTCTCTCAGACGTGCTCGATAGACTCAACTTTCTCACTTCTGCCAAAGATATTGGTTCGACGTGTCCTTCTCTCTTCTCCCTCAGGGAATGATTTGATAGACTCAACTTTCTCACTTCTGCCAAAGATATTGGTTCGACGTGTCCTTCTCTCTTCTCCCTCAGGGAATGATTTGATAGACTCGACTTTACCTCTTCTCCCAGAGATATTGATTAGACGTGTCTTCCTCTCACCTCTCTCAGACTAGTTTGATAGGCTCACTGTTATCTGTTCTACTAGAGATATTGTTTAGAAGTGTCCTTCTCTCTTCTCGCTCAGAGATGATTAATAGACTCGAATTTTGGTCCACAGGTGCTGGAGGACTGGAAGTATGTAGCTCGTGTGCTCGACCGGCTGTGTCTGATCGTCTTCCTGTTGGTCACTATTGGCGGGACGGCCACAGTCTTGCTGAACGCTCCGCACATCCTGGAGTATGTGGACCAGGACCAGATCATACGCAACCTGGTGCAGTACATCCGGCAAGCTGAAGCCAAGGCGTCCATGTAGACAGTTAGCACATGGACGTGTCCGGCGACAGTTGACCACAGTCAGTAACAGACCTAAATGAAGATGAGAGGATACAACCAGACACAGATCCGGACAGAAAAGGGACTCAGTCATCGGGAAAGGAGGGCAAACCCTTGGCTCACGCAGACCATCCAGGGGAGATAGCAGGCGCTTTGAGTCACAGGATGGTGGAGCCACTGTGGGCGTGCATCCTACCTCCATCAACATCCAGACATGCACCACTCTGCCTCGAAGCGCCCAGGAGGTCACGCTGTGAATGTCTAAAGCTCCAGGCTAGAAGAACCTCATAGTACTATCAGCGTTGACATGTTTCTTCTTATTCTGTCCCCATTTGTCTCAAGTGTTATTTGTGTGTGTGTGTTGATTTACAAAAACAACATTTCTGTCTAGCATTGGTAAACAGGAAGCAGGCATAATCAAACATTTTTTTCTTGTTCCGCTTTTATCACCATCTCAATCCGAATCTTTGGCATCCTGTGCCCTCTTCCTTCAGCTGTACACAACTTATAAACAATTACTGATGTGTTTGACATTTATTACTAACTCAACCAGCATTGGCTGTCATGTTGTTTCCCTCTGTCTATACTTGGCTGTCACGTTGTTCTCCCCTGTCTATACTTGGCTGTCATGTTGTTCTCCCTTGTCTATACTTGGCTGTCATGTTGTTCTCCCCTGTCTATACTTGGCTGTCATGTTGTTCTCCCCTGTCTATACTTGACTGTCATGTTGTTTCTGTCTGTCTATACTTGGCTGTCACGTTGTTCTCCCCTGTCAATACTTGGCTGTCACGTTGTTCTCTCCTGTCTATACTTGACTGTCATGTTGTCCTCCCCTGTCTATACTTGACTGTCATGTTGTTTCTCTCTGTCTATACTTGGCTGTCATGTTAATTCTCTCTGTCTATACTTGGCTGTCATGTTGTTCTCCCCTGTCTATACTTGGCTGTCATGTTGTTCTCCCCTGTCTATACTTGGCTGTCATATTGTTTCCCCCTGTCTATACTTGGCTGTCATGTTGTTTCTCTCTGTCTATACTTGACTGTCATGTTGTTCTCCCCTGTCTATACTTGGCTGTCATGTTGTTCTCCCCTGTCTATACTTGGCTGTCATGTTCATTTTCTCTGTTTATACTTGGCTGTCATGTTCTTTCTATCTGTCTATACTTGGCTGTCATGTTGTTCTCCCCTGTCTATACTTGGCTGTCATGTTGTTCTCTGTCTATACTTGGCTGTCATGTTGTTCTCCCCTGTCTATACTTGGCTGTCACGTTGTTCTCCTCTGTCTATACTTGGCTGTCACGTTGTTCTCCTCTGTCTATACTTGCCTGTCATGTTGTTCTCCCCTGTCTATACTTGGCTGTCATGTTGTTTCTCTCTGTCTATACTTGGCTGTCATGTTGTTCTCCCCTGTCTATACTTGCCTGTGATGTTGTTCTCACCTGTCTATACTTGGCTGTCATGTTGTTTCTCTCTGTCTATACTTGGCTGTCATGTTGTTTCTGTCTGTCTATACTTGACTCTCATGTTGTTTCTCTCTGTCTATACTTGACTGTCATGTTGTTTCTCTCTGTCTATACTTGGGTGTCATGTTGTTTCTCTCTGTCTATACTTGGCTGTCATGTTGTTTCTCTCTGTCTATACTTGGCTGTCATGTTGTTTCTCTCTGTCTATACTTGAGTGTCATGTTGTTTCTCTCTGTCTATACTTGGCTGTCATGTTGTTTCTCTCTGTCTGTACTTGGCTGTCATGTTGTTTCTCTCTGTCTATACTTGGCTGTCATGTTGTTTCTCTCTGTCTATACTTGGGTGTCATGTTGTTTCTCTCTGTCTATACTTGGCTGTCATGTTGTTTCTCTCTGTCTATACTTGGCTGTCATGTTGTTTCTCTCTGTCTATACTTGGCTGTCACGTTGTTTCTCTCTGTCTATACTAGGCTGTCACGTTGTTTCTCTCTGTCTATACTTGAAAGTCATGTTGTTTCTCTCTGTCTATACTTGACTGTCACGTTGTTTCTCTCTGTCTATACTTGGCTGTCATAATGTTTCTCTCTGTCTATACTTGGCTGTCATGTTGTTTCTCTCTGTCTATACTTGGCTGTCATGTTGTTTCCCCCTGTCTATACTTGGCTGTCATGTTGTTTCTCTCTGTCTATACTTGGCTGTCATGTTGTTTCCCCCTGTCTATACTTGGCTGTCATGTTGTTTCTCTCTGTCTATACTTGGGTGTCATGTTGTTTCTCTCTGTCTATACTTGGCTGTCATGTTGTTTCTCTCTGTCTATACTTGGCTGTCATGTTGTTTCTCTCTGTCTATACTTGGCTGTCACGTTGTTTCTCTCTGTCTAAACTAGGCTGTCACGTTGTTTCTCTCTGTCTATACTTGAAAGTCATGTTGTTTCTCTCTGTCTATACTTGACTGTCACGTTGTTTCTCTCTGTCTATACTTGGCTGTCATAATGTTTCTCTCTGTCTATACTTGGCTGTCATGTTGTTTCTCTCTGTCTATACTTGGCTGTCATGTTGTTTCTCTCTGTCTGTACTTGGCTGTCATGTTGTTTCCCCCTGTCTATACTTGGCTGTCATGTTGTTTCTCTCTGTCTATACTTGGCTGTCATGTTGTTTTCCCCTGTCTATACTTGGCTGTCATGTTGTTTCCCTCTGTCTATACTCGGGTGTCATGTTGTTTCTCTCTGTCTATACTTGAGTGTCATGTTGTTTCTCTCTGTCTATACTTGGCTGTCATGTTGTTTCTCTCTGTCTATACTTGGCTGTCATGTTGTTTCTCTCTGTCTATACTTGGCTGTCATGTTGTTTCTCTCTGTCTATACTTGGCTGTTATGTTGTTTCTCTCTGTCTATACTTGACTGTCATGTTGTTTCCCCCTGTCTATACTTGGCTGTCATGTTGTTCTCCTCTGTCTATACTTGACTGTCACGTTGTTTCTCTCTGTCTATACTTGGCTGTCATGTTGTTTCTCTGTCTATACTTGGCTGTCATGTTGTTTCTGTCTGTCTATACTTGACTCTCATGTTGTTTCTCTCTGTCTATACTTGACTGTCATGTTGTTTCTCTCTGTCTATACTTGGCTGTCATGTTGTTTCTGTCTGTCTATACTTGGGTGTTATGTTGTTTCTCTCTGTCTATACTTGGCTGTCATGTTGTTTCTCTCTGTCTATACTTGGCTGTCATGTTGTTTCTCTCTGTCTATACTTGAGTGTCATGTTGTTTCTCTCTGTCTATACTTGGCTGTCATGTTGTTTCTCTCTGTCTATACTTGGCTGTCATGTTGTTTTTCTCTGTCTATACTTGGCTGTCATGTTGTTTCTCTCTGTCTATACTTGGCTGTCATGTTGTTTCCCCCTGTCTATACTTGGCTGTCATGTTGTTTCTCTCTGTCTATACTTGGGTGTCATGTTGTTTCTCTCTGTCTATACTTGGCTGTCATGTTGTTTCTCTCTGTATATACTTGACTGTCACTTTGTTTCCCTCTGTCTATACTTGGCTGTCATATTGTTTCTCTCTGTCTATACTTGGCTGTCATGTTGTTTCTCTCTGTCTATACTTGGCTGTCATATGTGTCTCCTTGCAAACATCTGTGTCTCCCTCCAAACATATGTGTCTTCCTGCAAACATCTGTGTCTCCCTGCAAACATCTGTGTCTCCCTCCAAATATCTGTGTCTCCCTCCAAACATCTGTGTCTTCCTGCAAACATCTGTGTCTCCCTCCAAATATCTGTGTCTCCCTCCAAACATCTGTGTCTTCCTGCAAACATCTGTGTCTCCCTCCAAACGTCTGTACCTCCCTCCAAACATCTGTGTCTCCCTGCAAACATCTGTGTCTCCCTCCAAACATCTGTGTCTTCCTGCAAACATCTGTGTCTCCCTCCAAACATCTGTGTCTCCCTCCAAACATCTGTGTCTTCCTGCAAACATCTGTGTCTCCCTGCAAACATCTGGATGTAGACGTTGGTGTGCATTTTATTATCGACTGTATTTATGTAGTATCATGTCTATCTATATAATAGTAGGTGTGTCCAAACGGCATCATTTGCAACTATAATAGACTGTATCATTCCCTTGTATATAGTATCATTTCTATCCATGTAGTATCATTTCTGTCCATACATGTCATTTCTATTCATAATGTCATTTGTATCCGTATTGATTCGTTTCTATGCATACATCATAATTTCTTTCCATAAAGAGCCAGTTCTATCAATTATTATTTACATCTAGTTAGTATCAATTCTGTCCATATACTATTCTTTTTGTCCCAACGGTATCATTTGTTTCAATAACGCATTTTTTATATTTATAGCTTCCTTTCTTTCAGAAAACATCCCTTTGTCCATATAGTATCATTTCTATTCATATAGTATAATTTCTATGCATATAGTATCATTTCTATACATATAGTATCATTTCTATACATATAATATCATTTCTATGCATGTTTTTCTATGTATATCCATTCAGTCCTTAAGAAAGAGAATAGGGGCTTTTGAGCGGAAATGCTGTAGAAAGATTCTCAGAATATTTAGGACGAAAAGGAGGAGAAATACTGACATCTTGAAAAATCTGAACATCAAGGAAGATTGGCTAATAAACAGCATCCTGTCTCAGACGCTGAAATATTTTGGTCATATCAAGCGCCACGACGGATTGGAATAATGTGTAAAGCAGAAGGCATGTAACCAGGAAGGAGGGGCAGGGGCCGACCGACACGAAGATGGGCACAGGATATAAGTGACTCCTTGAGTGTGAAAGTACATGAGGCGGGAGAGCTGGCGAGAGACCGAGTTTCTTTCAGGCAGTACGTGATGAGAGCGACGTTGTACAAAGGACCTGCTACATGATGATGATTTCCATACACGAGAGTCGCTGTGGCCTAGCGGCTAGACGCTGATGTGCAGATCGGAAGGTCGTGGGTTCGCTCCCTGGCGGCGCCGGACTTTTTTTTCGAAAATGACCTTGATTCCCAGGTCGACCCAGTCTTGAGTGGGTACCGGGTGCAGTCCTGGGTAGTAAAGGCGTGGAAAAGGGATATTTCTTTTTTTTTTTTAACTTTATCTATACACTATCATTTCCATCCACACAAAAAAATTTCAATTCATTTAGTATTATTTCTATGCAGCCAGTATCATTTCTATCCAGGCAGTATCATCTGTTGTTGGGTGTTTACAAATAAAGAATAAAGCACAAATGAGCATGTCCGACCAGTGTGTTGTTGATTGTGTCCTGTGTGTCGTTGATTGTGTAACGTGTGTCGTTGATTGTGTCACGTTGATTGTGTCACGAGTGTCGTTGATTGTGTCACGAGTGTCGTTGATTGTGTCACGAGTGTCGTTGATTGTGTCACGAGTGTCGTTGATTGTGTCACGAGTGTCGTTGATTGTGTCACGAATGTCGTTGATTGTGTCACGTGTGTCGTTGATTGTGTCACGAGTGTCGTTGATTTTGTCACGAGTGTCGTTGATTGTGTAACGTGTGTCGTTGATTGTGTAACGTGTGTCGTTGATTGTGTCACGAGTGTCGTTGATTGTGTAACGTGTGTCGTTGATTGTGTCACGAGTGTCGTTGATTGTGTAACGTGTGTCGTTGATTGTGTCACGAGTGTCGTTGATTGTGTAACGAGTGTCGTTGATTGTGTCACGAGTGTCGTTGATTGTGTAACGAGTGTCGTTGATTGTGTCACGAGTGTCGTTGATTGTGTCACGAGTGTCGTTGATTGTGTCACGAGTGTCGTTGATTGTGTAACGTGTGTCGTTGATTGTGTAACGTGTGTCGTTGATTGTGTCACGAATGTCGTTGATTGTGTCACGAGTGTCGTTGATTGTGTCACGAGTGTCGTTGATTGTGTAACGTGTGTCGTTGATTGTGTCACGTTGATTGTGTCACGAGTGTCGTTGATTGTGTCACGAGTGTCGTTGATTGTGTAACGTGTGTCGTTGATTGTGTAACGTGTGTCGTTGATTGTGTCACGAATGTCGTTGATTGTGTCACGAGTGTCGTTGATTGTGTAACGTGTGTCGTTGATAGTGTCACTAGAGAGTTTCGTCTTATTGTCCGATGATCCTATCAATAGAGAGTTTCGACTCATTGTCCGACCAGTGTGTCGTTGATTGTGTCACGTGTGTCGTTGATCGTGTCACTGGAAAGATTGGTCTTATTGACCCACCAGTGTGTCGTTGATTGTGTCACGTTGATTGTGTCACGTGTGTCACTGATTGTGTCACTTGTGTCGTTGATCGTGTCACTTGAAAGTTTCGTCTCATTGTCCGACCAGTGTATCGTTGATTGCGTCACGCGTGACGTTGATTGTGTCACGTGTGACGTTGATTGTGTCACGTGTGGCGTTGATTGTGTAAAGTGTGTCGTTTATTGTGTCACGTGTGTCGTTTACCGTGTCACTAGAGAGTTTCGTCTCATTGTCCGATCAGTGTGTCGTTGATTGTGTCACATGTGACGTTGATTGTGTCACGTTTTTCGTTGATTGTTTCACTGGAAAGATTGGTCTCATTGTCCGACCAGTGTGTCGTAGATTGCATCACGTTTGACGTTGATTGTGTCACGTGTGACGTTGATTGTGTCACGAGTGTCGTTGATTGTGTAACGTACGTCGATGATTGTGTCACATGTGTCGTTTACCGTACGTACGTACATACATACATACATTCATACATACATACATACATACATACATACATACATACATACATACATACATACATACATACATACATACATACATACATACATACATACATACATACATACATACATACATACATACATACATACATACATACATACATACATACATACATACATACATACATACATACATACATACATACATACATACATACATACATACATACATACATACATACATACATACATACATACATACATACATACATACATACATACATACATACATACATACATACATACATACATACATACATACATACATACATACATACATACATACATACATACATACATACATACATACATACATACATACATACATACATACATACATACATACATACATACATACATACATACATACATACATACATACATACATACATACATACATACATACATACATACATACACATACATACATACATACATACATACATACATACATACATACATACATACATACATACATACATACATACACATACATACATACATACATACATACATACATACATACATACATACATACATACATACATACATACATACATACATACATACATACATACATACATACATACATACATACATACATACATACATACATACATACATACATACATACATACATACATACATACATACATACATACATACATACATACATACATACATACATACATACATACATACATACATACATACATACATACATACATACATACATACATACATACATACATACATACATACATACATACATACATACATACATACATACATACATACATACATACATACATACATACATACATACATACATACATACATACATACATACATACATACATACATACATACATACATACATACATACATACATACATACATACATACATACATACATACATACATACATACATACATACATACATACATACATACATACATACATACATACATACATACATACATACATACATACATACATACATACATACATACATACATACATACATACATACATACATACATACATACATACATACATACATACATACATACATACATACATACATACATACATACATACATACATACATACATACATACATACATACATACATACATACATACATACATACATACATACATACATACATACATACATACATACATACATACATACATACATACATACATACATACATACATACATACATACATACATACATACATACATACATACATACATACATACATACATACATACATACATACATACATACATACATACATACATACATACATACATACATACATACATACATACATACATACATACATACATACATACATACATACATACATACATACATACATACATACATACATACATACATACATACATACATACATACATACATACATACATACATACATACATACATACATACATACATACATACATACATACATACATACATACATACATACATACATACATACATACATACATACATACATACATACATACATACATACATACATACATACATACATACATACATACATACATACATACATACATACATACATACATACATACATACATACATACATACATACATACATACATACATACATACATACATACATACATACATACATACATACATACATACATACATACATACATACATACATACATACATACATACATACATACATACATACATACATACATACATACATACATACATACATACATACATACATACATACATACATACATACATACATACATACATACATACATACATACATACATACATACATACATACATACATACATACATACATACATACATACATACATACATACATACATACATACATACATACATACATACATACATACATACATACATACATACATACATACATACATACATACATACATACATACATACATACATACATACATACATACATACATACATACATACATACATACATACATACATACATACATACAGAGATAGAAAGAGACCGAACGAACGAACAATCTTTTTTTTTTCAAAGGTTTACAAATTGTGCACGCAGAGATAGATAGAGAGAGAGAACGAACGAATGAACTTTTTTTTTCAAAGGGTCACAAATTGGGCACACTGTGTGCCCGTCTTACATTCGGCCCTTCCAAACACCCGTCTTTCACTGCAGATGTATTTTTCAATAATCATGTTATTTTCACATTTATAATATACATATTATGAATATCGAAAAAAAAAAAAAAAAGAAAAAGCACAAAAGCTTGGGTGGTAAAATGCATAGAGAGAGAGAGAGAGGGGGGGGGGAGAGGGGGAAAAGCACTAAGCCCTCTTACACATTCGACAGGCACCTACCCTTATCTTGGGCTCCTCAACACATTTTGGATGCTCTCTAGAGCGGGGTGGCGGGCCTGAAGTTAGCTGAACGCCCTGGATGCTCTCTAGAGCGGGGTGGCGGGCCTGAAGTTAGCTGAACGCCCTGGTTGCGGCTGTGACTGATACCGGCATGTGTATCTCTTCGCTGGTTGTATCTACTGGCTTATCAATGAGGCGGGTCGCTGAGGTAGATATTGAGGGAAGAATTGGAGCACTTATTGGGTGTGTCCTTACTGCCTCGAGATAACCCTCATAATTCACTTCTTAAATGACAGGAAACAAAGATTAGCTTTGCATTCGCCTTGAATCTCCACCAGTGTCGGTCCCAAGCTCGGATAAAAATGGAGGAGGGCTTAAGCACGAGGCTAGCTAGCTCACCACAGAATTTCATTTTCTATAGCTACAGAGATTCGCAGATTAGGACGCCAACGGGTCAAAAGAATACCCTATCAGTCAGTGATCGGTGCAAAGAGTGCATCATTGAAAGTTGCTGATACACGCCGAAAATCTGTAAATCGACTCGCGCATTGCTTTGTTCTAAAAAAAAGCACAAAAATTGGTTTTTCAAACATCAAAGCCATGGCAGAAACAACTAAGTTGGCGCAGGCTGCAAAAGAAATGAAACCATACCATCTAGATTTAGTAGGTCAGATAAGAGGATGGTCAGTGGATTAATTGGGGAACGCTTGGAAGCCGTAGATATAATAGGAGCTCCCTGGGAGCAGGCTAGTAACCCCTTTATAAACGATTGCCCGGAACCCAAGGGCTAGACAGAGGATAGACACAGATAGACAAGGGACAAGACACAGGCAGAGGTCGACTGAGGCAAAAGAAAGAGACGGGCAGAGAAAAGACATGGACAGACGAGGGACAGGCTAGGGACGGAGTGAGGAGGACAAGAGACAAGCACTGGCCAGTTAAGCAGGGAAGGGAGCATAGATAAGTAGATAGACAACATTAGATAACAAACCTTTTAGCCCAACCTGCACTACGAGCCCGGTGGCAGTTAGAGACAATAGAACCAGTTAACAAAGTAACTTTAAAAGAAGAACACAACGAGATTCTACGAGTACTTAGCCACAGAGATAATTCAGCGTTATTCAGAATGTCATTTGATGTTATATGTGACAATGTTGCACCATCATAATAAAGAAAGTATAGACAAGAATAAATGTTTCCAGACACTTTATTACTCAAGTAGAGTCACGTGAGAAGCATGCAGCGAGCAAGACATCATCATCATCATCACTAACGACACGACCATCTTTCTCCTCGTCTATAAACATCACCAGTCATCCTTGTGACAAATATAAACGAACCTGGGACAATAAAAGAGACAGTTGTGTCACATTGACTTCCAATCCTCATGTCATAATTGACAGGCCTACGTCTCAGGTGACATCTCTGTTCAGGTCTATTCTAGTCTACTTCGATGTGTCTATATGTCTGTTTAATTATTTGTCTGTCTACCTTTCTGTCAACGCAACTATTTACATTTTCTGTCTAATTGATATTATTCCACAGGCAATTCTGTGTCCACGTACATATCAGTCTGCCAATTCTAAACGTGTGTCTTTTTTTAACCTGTATCTGTTGAAGTTTTACAAAGCTGTATGCACGTCTCGCTTACCTATTGGGTTTCTGTCTAACTTTTTGTCTTCTGACGTCTTGTCTGACTGAAGGTCTGCCCTCTGGCTACTATATTCCTGTCGTATGGCGGTTTCGTCACGTACCTTCGCTTCAGGATTATTTTCCCCAAATCTCCAGATATTCGGAGATAGGGATATCCTGAATGTTGGCTCTCGTTTGTCTAGAGGCCAAGTCCTCGGTAAAAACGTACATTCAGCCTATCTCAGGAATGAGGCGACTCGAGCTCGCACTCCTCAGGGTTAATACAA